TAGAGAAAAAACAACTATGTCAGTATCATTTATATTTTGTAAAAACGTACAATCGTCTATTGTCTTTGTACTTTTAAATTATAGCTTTAAAATATGCAATGTAATTATCTTTTTTCACGTCTTTGTTTTGTAGAGGAGAAGAGAGAAAAACAAAGTTTGGTCCACGTCTGATCAGACATAGCCTGTCCACCACGTCTTCAAAGAGTTAAGGGCACAGCGGACACATATGCAAAAAAACAAACAAAACAAATAAAAACAAACAAACAACAGCAACAACAGCAACAACAGCAACAACAGAAACAACAGCAACAACAGCAACAACAGCAGAGCTAAGGTCATATTTCAACACGTTTCAACTTATCATACACAAATCAAAAACACATGTATGCATATTATTTAAAAGTATGAATATTGATCCACGCTTTTTTTTAGTTCCAGATAATATTTTAAAAATCAACATTTTGACAAATCGGTGGGAATTGTCATGACGATACGTCCTAAAATGGACTGTGTGTAGCAGAATCTGCAAAGACGACCGTTCGCTGCCGTGAAGGGTGGAGGGTCATTACACGTCAACCTCGGAGTCAGAGAACAGACCTCAAGGTATTCCAGCTAATGTACTCACCGGGGACTCTCGTGGTCCAGAGGTTAATTAATGTGTTCGACTCACCTTCACTACGCCCCGAGTTCGAATCCAGATAGCGACGGAAAATGTTCGTCTCTAAAATTGTCTCCTTTTCCATCCTTTCCTGCTATCTAACTCAGTTCTGTCGTCTGGTTTCGACTCCACTTTCTACCCCAGCCCCATCACCTCCCTGGCTGGGCTCTTGGCTCTTTCTGCAGCCTTCCTACTGCTAGTCCTTGGCTCCTTCTTACTCCTGTCTTTCAGCCACACCCCTGATTTTATGGTAGGTAAAATCTAACACATAGACTTCTCGGATAAGGGCATAAAATCTCGGAGGTCCCGTGTGCAAGTTGCGCACGTTAAAGATCCCATGGTGGTCCAAAATCGAAAAGAGAAGGCTTCGGCTGCCACCCGGCAAAATTCAAAAATTTCCACATAACTGAAAATGCTTAATGTGTCCCTCAAGCTCATATAATAATTAATAATAATAATAATAATAATAATGGATTGCAATTATATAGCGTCTATCCACTCATAATATGGCCTTTTGTAGTTGCAAACGCAGTAAATCGCTAACAAAAAAAAACAAAGGAGCAAACAAAAATGTACTCACCCACGAAGACCCGGGGGTCGTTGAGAAGGTCAGGGACCTCTACGTGTGTGTGAGCGGCCGAGTCCCGGGGCTTACACACACGGCTACACGCCTGGGGGCAGCAGATGTCGTCTGGGAGAAGAGGGGGAGGGGAGGGGTTGAGAAGACGGGGATGGGGG